TTTCTAATGATTTAGACATCCTATTTAATTTATATTATCAAAGCAGCCTGATGTCCATTGAGACAGCATGAGACCGTAGATTAGCATGGAAGAAACATTTGGTTATTATTTTGGACATGGCTGAAAATTGCCCTAACATTTCAGGATCAGCTTACATTAGGAGCAGGGCTTCCTTGAAAATGATTGTGTTTGAATACATTTTCAAATTTGAAAGTTTCATCACCACTGTTGTGCAGAAACCAGCATGCCAAAACTTTAGCATATTATTTGACAGCATTTCCTTCCAGTGAAATGCTCTCATCTGAATGTCCTTAGTGATTGTGTTATCCTTTTGCTATCAGAAGAGCTTAGGTAAAGCTTTGATCCAGCATTGGACAAGGCTTTTGATTCCGAGCAGCTGATGGAGCAAATGACAGAGGCTGTCATGCTGATGCTGCACAGGAATGGACGATTCTTTTCCCTATGCGTAAACAGGCAGTGTCAAAAGCCCAGGGTAAGGCTTTTGATTCTCAGCCGCAGGCTAGGCAAAGGATAGGTTCTCATGATGCTGCGGCAGAAAAGTTGGCATTTCTTTGTCACACAGGTAAACAGCATTCAAATGCCTTTAGTGTCAACCTTAGAGTAGGCTATTCATGCCCCTTATAAGGGAAGGATAAAAGCAATAGTCTGAATTATTAGTAGGAGCGGTGGCATGAGGCATAATAAGGGACAGAAGAAGTCCTCAACAGAAAATGGCTTGGAATATCATTTTATCAAAATTCCATTCACAGTCCCTCAAAAATGAATAGGAATAATTACTCTGCTGATAACACTGACTTTATTCAACAACACAACAGAAACTGCTAAACGATTTACTCTATGTTTATCCGTGAGTTTCTGAATGTACTAAAGAATAAATGATTGAAATGAAACATCTTTTCCCCATTCACAATTTAACACTTGGAGAGGGAAAAGATCATCAGAACATTTTTCAAAATACTAGTTTGTTTCTGGAAAGTATTTTAATAATCAATGGGCTGTTTTAATCTCTCAGACTAGGTTATTCATTTCTAACTCAGATGATGTAAATGCAAAGGAACATATCTTCATATCTATATATCTATCCACCCACCATATAACCTATATGTGTCTTGTTTCAGTACAGCAATAAAAAAGTCACAGGCTCTTTTTTATTTAGTTTTCTCTAGGTGATAATTTCCATACAGGATATGAGTGGGTTTTAAAGACAGCTAATAATGTAGAAAGAAATGAATAAAGCCTAGGGAGCTAGTCATTTTTATGCTTAGCCTCTCCTCTCATTAAGAAGAGAGGAAATAAAGACTATTTTTAAAAGCAGAACATTATCAACATATTGTGGTTCTTACTACTGAGGACCAAGGACCCATATTTATGGTCGCTGAACAAGACACTCACCACTATTCATTGGACTATAATATTATACCAACATGAATCTGGGAACTGTAAAGTTCAGATCTCGGGTTGGTTTGTTCAAAATGTTAAACAGAGTAATGTTAATAAAGAGAGGATAAGAACAAAACCCTAAAGCAGCTTTAACGTGGACAGTAACTACCTCATAAACATGTTCCGCCAAAGGTCCAACTTCTTCTTCTTTATGAGGCTCCTCCTCTGGCTCCCAGTTATGAATGGGCAGAACAATTTGCGGAGGGTGGGATACTCTGAAATGTGAATGGTTAATTGTTAATTTTGATGATGGCATGTGTAAAGGATGCACTATATATTTACAGCAGAAGAAAAAACTAGTTTTAAATTTATTTAAATAGATATTGCTGATATGAAAAATATATTAAGGTGAAATTCACCAAAATACCTACAGGTAGTGAATTAAAGACATCTGCTATATGTTCACTAATAACGAAGATGAAGAAGCCTTGGTGAAGCTGTGCGCTGCTAACTACAGGTTGGCCACGAAGCTACCAGCTACTCCATGGGAGAGAGATACGGTGGTCTACTCCTGTAAGGTTTACAGCCTCAGAGAAATTTCTACTCTGTCTCCAACAGTGGTTGTGAGTCGGCAGTTGGTTAATAATTAAGATGAACGAGTTTACATCTCTTGTGCTCTAAGGGGCAATGCAGAAAGAGTTCTTGAGTTGATAAGTACTCTGCAGGATCACCAAATGAAAAGAGGATATAGATATGAGCCCGAGTGACATAGTGGGTGAAGCATTGTCTGATTATGTATCTGTGAGCTATAAAGAGAGACAGCATGGACCCAGGAGGCCCAATGGTTTAGAACTTATGTGCTACCTAACCTAACCTAGCCTAGCCTAACCTAATCTAACCTAACTTAACCTATGAACAATAAGTTCTCATGCAGTAGGACTAACTCCCTAGGCTTTTTTTCATGTCTTTCTACATTTTCAGGTGTCTTTAAATCCCACTTATCTCCTGCTCAACATTTATTCTCACGAAGTGAGCACTGAAGAGATGGGTGCTATATATAGCAAGGTGTGGTGAAGAAATAAGATGGTGCTCAGATATCAGAAAGAATCGTATCTGGGATCTAAAAGGCTTGTTCTAAAACAAACAGCCACCTACATGAGATGGCAGCTAAATCCACGTGGAAGTAGTATATCAGCCCATGTGATCTAAGGATTGTAGATTATAAAATCCAAAACTGGAGGAGGAAATTATACAAGAGATTCATTCTGAGCACCGGGTTTGCAGAAGGCTGTGGATGACAGTGAAAACCCAAAATCCATTCTCACAGTTTCCACTTGACTTAAGCCTCCACTGAATTCCCTTGGACCACGGACCAGGGATGTGACCAGTCTTGTCCTCAGAGAGAATGCATTGCAAAGTAAATTACTACAGACACGTTAAAATTCAACATTCTACCCGTTGTTTTCCTTTTTGAGCATTTGTAACTTGGTTCAGTTTTTATATTTTCTACTTTCTTTTGGGTGGACTTTTTTCTGTGTTTAATTTTATGGTTGTTGCTGGATTTTGTCTTTTTAAAATCATGATTTTCCTTCTATGAAATCGAGGATAGGTAAACATATAGAGAATGTAACTAGATTAATAACTCCTTCAGGTTATGATAGGGAGGTTGCAGGACCTCCGTTATCAGGTGCCACTTAGTGGGCTCCAACCCATAGCAACTCTGCGCACTACACAACTAATCACTACACTGTCCTGTGCCGTCCTGTCAATTGCTCCTGTGCCTTAGTCCATTGATGCAATGGCTGTGTCAATCCGTCTCATTGAGGGCTTTCCTCTTTCTCACTTCCCCTCTGCTTTACCAAACATAATGTCCTTCTCCGGGAACTGGCCTCTTTTCACACGATGTCCAAAGTATGGAAAACCAAGTCTTGCAATCCTTGCCCCTAGAAGCATCCTTGCATCAAGAAGCACTCTGGCCTTACTTCTTCCAACACAGATCTGTTTGTCTCTTAGCAGTCCATGGTACTTTCAATATTTTTCACTAACACCGTTTCAAAGGCATTGATTCGTCTACAGTCTTCCTTATTCAATGTCTAACTTTCACATGCACGGATGCAATAGAGAATACCATAGCTGAGTCCGGTGCACCTTAGTCCTCAAGTCATACCCTTGCTTTTCAATACTCTATAAAGAGGTCTTGTGCAGCAGATTTGCCTAATGCAATACATCTTTTGATCTCTTGACCGCTGGGTCCATGAGCATTGATTGTGGATCCAAGGAAGAGAAAATCCTCGACAACTTCAACCTTTTCTCCATTTATCGTGATGTTACCTACTGGTCAGTTGTGAGGGTTTGGGTCTTCCTTAGATTGGGTTATAATATGTAACGAAGGCAGAAATTCTTGATCGTCCTCCTCAGCAAGTGTTTCAATTCCTCCTCACGTTCAGCAAGCAAGGTTGGGTCATGTGCACAGGCAGGTGGTTAATAAGCCTTCCTCCAATCTTGATGCCACATTCTTCATATCATCCATCATCTCTAGGAACATTTTGGCATATAGATTGGACAAGTATGGTGAAAGGATAAAACCATTATATGCACATTTCTTGATTTTAAATCATGCCGTATTCCCTTGTTTTCTTGTGCAACTGCCTCTTGATCCATGTACAAGTTCTGAATGGGAACAATGAAGTGTTCTGGAATTCCCATTCAACTGGAGGTTATTCATGGTTTATTATCATTCACACAGTTGAATGTCTTGGCAAAGACAATGAAACACAGGTAAACATTTTTCTGGTATTCTCTGCTTTGTGTCAAGATCCATCTGACATGAGCAATGATATCCTTTGTTTCACATCCTCTTTTGAATCTGGCCCAAACTTCTGGTAGTTTCCTGTCAATGTACTGCTGCAACCGTTATTGGATGTTCTTAAGCAAAATTTCACTTGTATGTGATATTAATGCTACTGCTCTATAGTTTAAGCGTTCTATTGGGTCACCTTTCTTTGGAATGGACACAAATGTGGATCTTTTCCAGTCAGTTGGCCAGGTATGTCTTCCAAATTTCCTGCCATAGATGAGTGATTGCCTTCTATGCTTCTTCAGCTTGCTAAAACATTTCAAGGGGTATTCCATCAATTCCTGGAGCTTTGTTTCTGGCTAATGCATTCAGTGCAGTTTGAATTCTTCCTTCAGCTCCATTGGTTCTTGTTCATATTCTACCTCATGAAGTGGTGGACTGTCGACTTTTTGGTACAGTGACTCTGTATTCCATCCTCTCTTGATGTTCCCTGCATCATTCAATATTTACCTATAGACTCTTTCAAAATTGCAATTCAAGGCTTGAATTTTTTCTTGACTTTTTTCAGCTTCAGATATGCTGAGCATGTTCCTAAGCTTTGGTTTCCTAATTCTAGGTTCTTGCACATTTCATTGTAATGTTTGGCTTTGTCTTCTTGAACTGCTTTTCAAATGTTCTATTCAGCAACTTGACTTCATCCTTTCTTTTGTTTACTTTAACTTCTCTATGATTAATACATGTTTCAGGGTCTCTTCTGATACCCAAGTTGGTCTTTTTTTTAAGTGACCCTTTGCTTTCTTCATGAATGATGGGTTTGATGTCCTCTCATAGCTCATCAGGGCTTCTCTCATTAGTGTTCCGTGCATCAAATCAGCTCTCAAAATTCAGGTGGAATAGACTCAAGGTCATATTTTGGCTCCTGTGGACTTGCTTCAATTTTCTTCAGCTTTATCCTGAACTTACATATGAGCAATTGAGGGTCTGTTCCACATTTGGCCCTGAGTCTCATTTTAGCTGCTGTTTTGAGCTCCGCCATTGTGTCTTCCCACAGATGGACTTCATTTAATTTCTGTGAATTCCCTCTGCAACATTCATGTGTACAATCACTGTTTATGTTGTTGAAAAATGGTATTTGCGATGACCATGTTTTGTAAAACTCTATCATGCCATCTCCAGCTTCACTGCTCTCACCAACTCCATAATTTCCAAGTATGGGTCCTTCCCCTTTGTTTCCAACGTTTGCATTCCAATCACCAAAGCCATTAATAACTCTTGATGACATGTTTGATTAATTTCTGGCTGGAATTATTGGTATAATTTTTCAATCTCTTCCTCATTAGTTTTATTGTTGGTGCATAAAGTTGAAAAATATTGTTTGGATTTCTTTGAAGGCGCATAGCTAAATCTAATCACAGCTAGCATTGTACTTCATGATGGATTTAGCCAGGTCCTTCTGACAATGCGTGCCACACCATTTGTTGTGTGGAGATAGGGAGCCGACACCAGAATGAATACAAAAATGAAGCAAAGGACCTTAAAGTGAATGTGGTGATGAATGCACAGTTCTTTTTAATAAATTTAAACATTGACTTATGTGGCACTTGAATTATTTGTCAATGCAATTAAATAAAAAAAGAAAACAACAAAGAATGGGAAACTAGTTTGCTTTGTAACTGTTTACCCAAATCACAATAAACTGGTAAAAAGAACGTGTGTGCTAAGTAAAAGGTCAGTGGTTTGAACTCACTGCTTGCTCGGAAGGAAAAGGAACTGCCCATGTGCTGCCATAAAGATTTCAGCCTCCCCTTCAGGACCAATATTGACAGTAGCAATACCATGACGGTAGGGGGAAGGTGGGGGGAGAACGGGGAGAAAGGGGGCAGCGATAGTAATGATAGACACTCTGTTTATCCCCAGGGGGATTAAACAATGGAAACATGGGGGAAGGGAGAAAGCGTATGATGTAAAATATGAAACTAAACATAATTTATAATTTATTAAGGGTTCATGAGGTGTGAGGGTTGGGGAGGGAGGGGAAAAATGAGGAACTGATACCAAGGGCTCAAGTAGAAAGAAAATGTTTTGGAAATGATGATGACAACATATGTACAAGTGTGCTTGATACAATAGGTGTATGGACTGTTATAAGAGCTGTAAGCCCCCAATAAAATAATTTATTGAAAAAAATATTTCAGCCTAGGAAATCATGTGGGAAGTTCTATTCCATCATATATTGTCTCTGTTAGTTGGTATTGACTCAATGGTATACAGCAACAATAAATAGACAGATACATGTATATTTGTATAAATATATATATATATATTAGCTGTAGACAATCTATTTCTTATGTAGTTAGTGATCAAGTGTGCATGTGTGTATACATGGAGTTTATAATGTTTGTATTAAGTATGACCGTTTGTGGATGAGATTGCAGGATTCGGTGTATGTTTTAAATATCCCGTGTTGAAGTTGTATAG